CACCCACCAACCAACCAGCCAACCAACCAACCAACCAACCAACCAAACAACAACGGCAGGAGCAGGAGCAGGAGCATGGCAGAAGGGTGTAAAATATTGGCAGCAAAAAAACCTGCCTCCTGGGAGGAGTGGATGACCACCACGCTGGTCTCCCGCTTGTTGGAAAGCAGGCGGCACCAAAGTTCCGCACGGCACCACCCTCTCGACAGCCAGGAGGCATAGTCGCAGGGAAGTCCCGTGCTGGCATGAACAAGCTCGGGCACCAGTGCAAGGAACAGATCTGCTGCTTCCACATATGCCTGACTTGCAAAGCACCTGGACAAAAAGGTGATCATTTGGGTTTGATCGACTACAAGTGGGCCAAAAATTGGGCAAAAGAGGTGAAAAGGAAAATCGACTGCAGCAAGCGAGATGCAGGAATGCTCTGCACCGCCAAGGCAGCTTCGGATCTGGTCTCTGTTTCGTTCACTCCGTGCTGTCTGGCTGTGATCCTGACGAACGCGTAAGAAACCTTCACTGAGTCCCAAGAATACTTCTGTCCCTTTAGCCTTTAGCATAGGACCAACTGGGCAAAATAAACATTCATAGGCAAATGCAGTTCTCGTGTCCGAGCAAGTGGTGGGTAATCAACTTTGGATCAGTCCGGGAAACCGGTGAGTCACCTTTCAGTCTAAAATATCCTAGGTGAAGGATTCCTGTGATTAGCAGGGTCCCCCGACCAAGACCGGAAGCTGAAAAAGCCAAGGGGCTGTGGGATGGCCCACCAGTCCTTGGCCGAGCCCATTGCCCAACGCAGAACGGCCAACGGTTTACTGGCTGGATGGAACATGCACACTTCTTGGGTTGACGTTGGAAGGCAAGCAAAATTAAACATTTAGCGGGTAGGTGGGGGCTTCCCACTAAACCACAACAAGCAAAAATGCAAAATTGTTTCCCAACAACAACCATGACCTTGCCGAAGTGAGAGCTCATGCAACCAGATAGCAGCCAAGAGTCCAGAAACATGAAACCGCTGGCAATCTGCTGGCGCGTCCGGCGGGAGACTTTGCGATTCGAGTTGAAGGGAGTCAACCGGGAGAGTGGCGTTGCAGAGGTCCTGAGCCATATGCGCATGAGCACCCTCGGCGTTTTGGAGAAACGGATGGCACTGGAAAGTCATTGGAACCCCACCTAAAACCATATTTATTTCCACCCATGTCAACCAAACTGACCTCAAAGGCTATGCACCTGCATTTTGCCCTTGGCAGCGCCGGTGATCCAAAAAACTCGCAACCAACGATGCAGAATATGGGAAGTTCAGTCCCCCCTCTTCAAGTCAACTGTTCACTGGTCTCAGCCACTTGCTGCGTGGAGAGGCACAAGCTGACCAGATCAAACAAAACACAGCACCAGCCATTTGGGGCCCTAGGTTTTGACACACACCTGCATGTCAAACTGGTGGCTTCGCTGGTTTGCTCATGCAAGATCTTGCCTCTCTCACGATCGAGGCACGTAGCGCTTGAGAAAGCGGGCCGGGCGGAAGGCACGAACAAAAACAAATTCCAAATGCGCTCCATTGGCAAGAGCCCTGGCATCTCTCTGAGAAATGTCTAGCAATCTGGCGGTGCCAAACTGGGCCCGCTAAAGCCAAGTTTCCATTGAGGTACCCTAGAGTTCCCCAATGCGGATGTGTCAGAATGTTGCTTGCCATGGCCAGGCTTCGTCACAAGTGCAACTCACTGATGGACTCCAAAGGTTCCGCGGGGCACCAGCACGGCGTCCCAAATGAGCATCCAACAACCCTTGACTTTCGCCTATCATTATGAAGGTCTAAACAGGCCTTGCCACCCTTGCGGAGACAGGCAGCAACGACTGGTGCTTTGGAGCTAGGGGGTGCCTCTCATTTTGCAAACAGGAAGCAGGGATTCCAATCCCCAAACCTCCAGTCGTTGGGCTGCTGACATGTTCTCCTTTGATGGCCTCACTTGGTTGTTTGGCAGGGCAAAGGGGAACCCATTTTGTTCTATTCGCAGGCCCTGAAGCAAGGCCCTATTTTGGGCTAGTGTGACCGCGCCCGTGTTGTAAACAGAGGCGCACATCCACCTCCACCTGCAACTTGCCGTTAATGAGCCGCCTCACCGCCTCCCTGAGAACCTCCAGCTGACGTCCCGTCTCCTGAGCGCGGTGGCGCCTCACACCATGGCATGGGGAAAGGGGTCGCCCAAACGACTGTGCCAGCCTGAACAGGAAATCGAATCGAATCGACAAATTAGGCCAGTGCTCAGCCAGCCTGTGCAGTATGAAACTAGGGAAACCGCCTGGTAAAATCGAAGACACTCTGGTTACCTCCTACCGTGGAACAGAAAGCGCTGCGTCATCTTGAAGGAAAGCCCGCCCCAAAGACAACAAAGACAAAGGATGATGGCCCGTACCTCCCCCTTGGCCGAGGATTCGGACACCTGAAAAAGCAACCGGGTTTCGTCCGGGTGCCCAGCACCCAGCCACTGGTGGGACACGAAGA